ATATTTTTTTAAAAAAAGACCTGAGCACATCTCCTAGATTTCCCCTTTTCCTTTGTAAGACTTATATAGCTGTCTGGGTCTGTGAAAGGAAGCCCTCCCCCTCCATGCTGCTGCTGCTGCCCTACTCTGCCTACCAGCATGGAAACTACTCACCCAGGTTCTCAAGGAACCTCCTGGTGTCTCTCCTTAGCAGGATGTTTTTTCAGTTTGTGCACACTGAAGCCTCAATGTCACATTTCTTCCTGGGCTGGGAACTGCCCTACTGTGTAGACACACTAGCCTCTGTGATGGACCTCTGAGCTGTCTTCGTCTTGGCTGCCATGAACAGTGTGCTGTGAATGTGTGTGGACATGTACTGTATTTAAGTCCGTTTTTAGTTCTTTTGGGCCTAGTGTTGCTTGTAATTCCATGTTCTCCATTTGAAAAGTGCAGTTTGCTGCTGGGTGTGGGTTTCTTGGTTGATAGAATTTATTTTCTTTTAACTTTCAGACCTTTGCACTTGCTATCTCGTTACCTTCTGTCCTCCATGATTTCTCCTGAGAAGTCAGCTGTCTTCCACTGTGGCTCTCTGTATATAAACACAGTCCCTTCTTTTGGGATATTTTGGGATTGTCTCTTTGTCTTTGTCCTCCAACAAGCTGTGACATATGTAGATGTGACTCTGACTTTACCCTGCTTGGAGCTTGGTGAGTACTGCAGATGTATTGTGTAATATGTTCCCAGATGTGAGGTGTTTTGAGCTGTCATTTCTCCCACTGCCTACAGAAACTCCATGGGCCTTTGCTGTTCTCTTGCTGGCGTCTTGTGTCTGTGAAGCTCATCTTACTGGCCTCTTTGCAAGCTTGTTGATTCTTCCTGCTCCTATCTGCTGCCAAGCCCCAATTTTCATTTTAGTTATTATACTTTTCAACTCTAGAATTTCTATGTTTTATATTTTTAAAAATACTTTTTTTTCTCTCTCTATTTGATGAAACAAAACCTGTCATTTGTTCCTGTAGTTCTTTAGACAAGTTTCCTTTCTGGTTTTTTTTTTTTTATTATTATTATTTTTTTAGGTGGAATTTCATTATGTTGCCCAGGCTGGCCTTAAATTCACACTGATCCTTCTGCTTTAGCCTCCTGGGTGCTGGGATTACAGGTGTATACCACCAGGCCTGACTCCTTTACTTTTGAAAACACACTTAAAATAGGTAGTTTGAAATCTTTATCTAGTAGGGCTTCCTCAGGATCACTTTCTTTTAACTCTTTCTTCTCACATATGGGCCATACTCTTGTTTCTTTGCAGGTGCTATACATTTCTTTTGAAACCTGAACGTTTAAAATAATGTGACAGTTCCTAGAAGTCAGACCTCCACCACTGTTGTTACACTTTGTTTAGTCACTGTTCTGAATGAATGGTGTGAGTCTGTCTTCATCATATAGTTGACCCCTGAAGTGTCTGCCCAAGTCGTTAGTGGCCAGCTAATTGAACAGAGACTCCCTCCATGCCTGGTCACTGTGTTTCCTGGTCAAGGGGCTCTGTGTGCATGTTAGGCCATGTTGTTAGTGTTCACACAGGCAGCTGACAGATCAACCTGAGCTTTAGTTCCTGCTTACACAAAGTGTTGAGGTCAGCCAATGGATAAGCTAGGCCCTAATCGAGCCAGAGCATGGTTTCCCACATGCTCCAGGGATTTTCTGTTGGAGCTTTATGGGCAGCCTACTGTTTGCTTGAACTGTTATATTCTACCTTGTTGATGTTAACTGCCTCTGATTATCCTCAGTGCTTCCCCAGAGACAAAGCTGTTTGGAGAGGCTGTTCGGCAACTCCACAACAGATTAGACAGAGGCAGTCTTTCTGATGGGGTCTTCCAGGGAGCCACCTGTGGAAGAATAGTGACATCTCTAGGACAAGGGCTTTGAAGGAACTCAAGTCTGTACTGACCCCTGCTGCCTGCAGCTACTGCTTTTACTGTGGTTGTGATGGTTGGGTTTCAAGAACACTGCAGAGTTGAGGAGGAGATGAGAACAACAGGTTAACATGTCCCAGATTTTGCCTGTTCTTACCAGGACTCAACCATCTGTCTCAGAGGAACACTGTGGACAGCTCAGCCTTTAGTCAGTTCCAGAGTTCAGAGAAGGCTGACAGGGTCCATCTAACCAGTGTTTTTATTATTTTGAGGGAGGAGAGACTTTTTGGCTGTTGGGACTTGATGAAGTCTGCTGACCTTTCCGTGTGTGCTCAGGCTAAAGTTCTATCTTGTTAAAATTGTCCCAAAGCCAAGGGACAAAAGAAAAAGTTATGTCTCTAACATGTTTATCAGTTACCTTTTATAAATGTAGAGTACTGTAAATAAGTAACTTTAGGGGAAATTTGGGGTCACATTGTTAGGCATTTGTCAAGAATGAAAAGAAAGTCAGGAAGGGAATGTGTCACACAAGATTATGAGCTCTGCTGCCACACTTAGAAGGACTGGGTTTGAAACTGGTGCTGAGGGTTGTAACCCACAATGTGGAGCAAGTTGTTTAGCCTCTCTACTGAATAGCTCATATTTTCCTCTGTAAGGTGATGACAACACCACAATAGTGCGATGAGGCTTAAATGAAAGAATCCGTGTCACATGCTTGGCCAAGTGTGTAATTACTGCTTTTGTCTTTATTGCTGTTTAAGAGAAAATTCTCTGTGACATGATGGTACATAAATTGGCAGGATTTACTACAGCAGTAGTAGGCATACAATTTAATATCCAAATAAATAAATTTTTTATTTTTTTCAGTTTTTATTATTAGTCCACATTTGCAGTGCATGATGATTTCATTCCTCTGAGGAATTTGTGCAGGGGCATCACACATTTCAATTATTTTTTCATCACCTTTCTCACCATGCTCCACCCCATTTCCTGGTTCCCCTCTCATTTGCAAAAGATCTATCTCCCTGTTTCCTAATATCAGTCTTTTATTTTGCTCTCTATTTACTAATACTTTATACTTTTATTTATCTATGCATTGTTTACACTTGTGTGTCTGATTTATTTTATTTAACATTATGGTCTCAAAGTGCATCCATTTTCCCATAGATGACTCAAGTTTATCCTTCTTTCTGGCAGAGTATACTCTTATTTTGTGTAAATACTGCATTTTCTGTATCCATTCATCGGTTGGTGGCCTTATAGGCCACGTCCAAGATTCCACACTCTTGAGATGTGCTGCTATAAACATGAGTATGCATGGGTCCCTGTAATATGTTGTCTTTAACTCTTTTAGAAAGATACAGAAAGGGAATAGCTGGGTCAAATGGGGTTTCTAGTTTCAGTTTTTTTGGGAATTGCCATATTGATTTCCATAGTGGTTGTACTAATTTACATCCCACTAATAAGATAGAAGGGTTCCTTCTTCCCTGCAGCTTCTCCAGTATTTGTTATTATTCAATTTCTTGATAATAGCCATTCTTTCGGGAGTACAATAGAATTTCAGTATTATTTTAATTTATATTTCTCTAACGTGCAGAGATGTCAAACAGTTTTTCTTGTGCTTACTGGCTGTTTGAACTTCTGTTGACAAAGGTCTATTAATTTCAATGGGCTATATATTTTTTGGGTCATTTATTTGGTGAGGGGGTCTGAGTTTTTTGAGTTCTTTATATATTCTAGATATGAGTCCTCTGAGGAATAGCTAGCAATTTTTTTCCCATTGAGTAGGTTGTCTCTTCATTCTATTGGCTGTTTGTTGTGCAGAAGATTTTTAATTTGATATGATCCTATTCGTTGATTCTTTTCCTTTTTTGGAGGGGGGAGAAGAGTCTACAGGGTGTTCAGGGTCTCACTACTAGATCAGACTGGTAATGATCTACCTATTTACAACCTCCCGAGAGCTGGGATTATAGGCGCGCACCACCATGACCACTCAATTGCTGTCTCAGTGCACCCCTGGGGTGGGGCTGGCACAGCAGGCCTGGGAATCAAACCTCTGGCCTCTGCACCTGCTTGCAGGAGCTTTAATCTGCTGAGCTGTTTGGCCGGCCCCTGTTTGTTGATTCTTGATATTATTTCTTGTGCTATTGGTGTTCTGTTCAGAAAGTCCTTACCTATATTCAAGTCCTTACCTGTCTTCAAGATTTTTACCTATCTTATCTTCCAGAAGGTTAAGTGCTTCAGTTTTAACATTTAGATCTTTTATCCAATTTGATTTTAGTTTGATACATGGTATGAGATATGGGTCTAGATTCAGTCTTCTGCCTGTAGATTGCCATTTTTCCCAGCACCATTTATTAAACTAGCTATCTTTCCTACAGTGTGTGTTTTGGCCCTTTTGTCAAAGATCAGATAGCTGAATGTGCCTGAGGTTGTTTCTGGATCCTCTGTTCTGTCCTATTGATCCATGTGCCTGTCTTTGTATCAGTGCCATGCAGTTTTTATCACTGTAGCATTGTAATATAACACAAAGCCTGAGATTTTGATGCCTCCTGCTTTGCTCTGTGCCCAGGATTGCTTTCGTAATTCTAGTCCCTTCTGGCTGCATATGAATTTTAGGACTGTTTTCTCTAGTTCTGTGAGGGATAACACATGAAATATTTCATGTAAAATATCAAAAGTAGGAAAAAAACAACAACCCACCTTGGTACCACATGAGAGAACCATTGTGATACAATTATGGAGTATTTTTTTCTTGTCCTTCTTCTAAACAGTGTTACTGTTGTGCTGTTTTGAAGTAGAAATGTTGCCCACCTAATTAGAATCTCCTTGGAGAGGCTGGGTGCTGCTCTTAAGCATAATTTTGGGGGCCTTCTTTGGAGACCTCTGAGATGGAGTTAAAGAGACCTAAAATGCCTCTTAGATTCTAGTGTCCCAGTGGCAGGCCTCCCTGGGACTCCATGCCCTCTGCTGAGTGTATGATGACAGTGGTACCACCTTCAAGTGGGCTTGGCAGGGTGGAAGGACAGACGCGAGTCCTGCCTGGTGGCTTGTAGAGGCTGTACAGATGTACTCTAGCATTCTGTGATGGTGTTTGTTTTACTGTTTCAGGTTTCGAGATGCTCCGATTATACCTGTAGCAGCCAAACCTGGGGGACCAGAGGCCCCTGAAACTGAAGCCCCACAGGGAATCTCAGAGCTCATTGAGGTACTGTCTGCTTGAACCCTGGTTGCCCTAATCCCAGCCTGCTCAGGCAGGCTTCTATGGCCTCCCTGCCCCGAGGGAGGGGAGGGGCAGTCCCTCTCAGGAAACTTGGCTGGCTCCCTTTACTTCCCTACTCATGGGAAAGGAGAAAGACCTTAACCTCCCACAGAAAGTGTAGCCAAGACAGAACCCTCAGGCCTAACATCCCAAGGCTCTGAGGAGGCCACATACCCTCCTGTGTCTTTCTTTTTCCTTCTGGGTTTTTTTTTTTTTTTTTTTTTTAATCTTTTTGAGACAGGGTCTCACTCTGTAGTACAGGATGGCCTTGAGTTCACTTTGTAGCCCAGGCTGGTCTCAAACTCACATTGATCCTCCTACCTCAGCCTCCTGAGTACTGAGATCACAGATGTGTGCCACCATACCCAGTCATCTTTTCCTTCTTGTCATGGGCTTCACTGAGATGAAGCAGTGCCCAGCACTGGAACCCTAGGCCCTTGTCCCCCATTGCTGTCCTCAGATTGTGCTAGTCTCTCTGGTGAGTCTCAGACTGCTCATCCAGATTTGGTTGCAGTACAGGAGGGTGTGTAGGGTGTTGGTGGGCACATGAGGATGGCAGTGAGGGTGGGGCCTGAGGAGCTCCTCTGTGGATGCCTAGAGGGACAGGGGTACCTGAGTGCCTTGCACTGTAATCCAGCCTGGCTCACCATCTGCTCTCCTACCACCTGCTGTTTGCAAAGGGTCTGCCTCCTTTGCCTCTGAGTCCTCACTGGTAAAGGAGGGAAGACAGAAGCACTGGTCCCTGGGGATTCTGGGGAGGGTTAACTGGTTTACCTGTGCTTGCTGTGGCAGAGACTTGAATTGGTGATTGCTAACATCTTGGCCCAGCTCTCACAGCATGTTTAGTGAAGGCTGATTATTAGGGTCAGCTTCATGGTCCTCTTGAACTTGGACCCACAGACCCAAGGTCAGGTGTAGCTTTGTGATTCATACAGAGCTGATCTGGCCTGCCTTGTAAACCAATTTTTTTTTTGGTGGTACCAAGCATTGAACTCAGGACCCTGTGCTTGCCAGGCAAGTGCTTATTCTACTGAGCTATCTCCCCAGCCCAAATAACTGACATTAACCAAATGTTTTTGTGAGTCTTCCGTTACCTCTTGCTCAGCTCCAGAGTACACTTGTATGGGAGCCGGGAAACATTGTCTATATAAGCAAAATCCACCAAAAAACATGGTATTTGTCCTTTCCTTTAAGAGGCCTCTGCCTCACCTCAAATCAGGCCTGCTTGGGAGCTCAAATCTTTTTCTTTTCTTTCTTTTTTTAAAATTTTATTTCCAGTCTTTTTCTAGAAGGATTGTTATCACAAGACTGGAACTGGCACACTTAACTCCGAATACTTTTTCTGACAGCCTGTTCTGTATGAAATCAGAAAGTAGCGCAAGGGAAGTCCTAATGAAATGTTTGTGTTCACTTGTATAATGGTAATTGGCTCTGGCACCATCTCAGGGTACGTAGATGCCTGAAATAAGCTGGCTGGCTAAAGTATGTGGGAAGTCAGTAGGGGAGAAGAAAAGCAGGAACAGGTCCGTGGAGACATAAGACCAGCCCTCTGTCCCTGCAGGGGCCCAGCAAAATGGTGGAAAGGCTCTAGGTCACCCTGAACAGCTCTTGTTCTGGATCCTCAGGCCCAGGCAGCACCGCTGGGACCCACCTTCCCTCTTCCTCCCTCCTCGCATTCCCTTTTCCCTCCTTTGTCCTTTTTTCTGGTCAGTGCAACTACAGGGATACTTAGAATCCTCATGGGAGATAGAGAGGTGCGCACACCAATGCTGTCACTGTGGTGATGGGATGGGGTGCAGCTGTACAGGAACAACTTTCCAGAGAGGGAAGAGGGCAGCTGCCGAGGTTCCAGCGTGGAGCTGGGCGGGACAGGGGGTGGGAAGTTGAGGCCCATGTGCTATGGGACCTTAGGTCCTACAGGCCTTAGGAGCCCCCATGACAGCTGTCTGTGCAGCTGTGGAGGCTTCGCAGGAGTGCCATTAGGGGACTGGGATGGTGGAGCAGAGGAAATAAGAGCCCATCAGAAGCTTGGAACTCTGTTGGGAATGAGCTGCTAGCTCTGACCAGCTTTCCAGGGCACAGCCGTCCCATCCAGGCCTCACCTTAGTGGCCTTGGTGAAAGCTGTCTGGCTACACAGCCACACTTCTATCCCCTCTGCCCTTTGCCCAACTGTCTGTGGCAGTAGCATTTCTCTTCTAGCTCCTGAAGTCCCAGATTTCCATCCCGACAAGAGACCCCTCAGGCCCCTTCCTCATGTCTGTGGACCACTGTTTCTCCATCAAAGGCCAAGGCACGGTGATGACGGGGACCATCCTTTCAGGCTCCATCAACCTTGGCGACAACGTGGAGATTCCTGCCCTCAAGGTCAGTCTCATGTTGTCCTTCTTTTCCACTTTCCTCTCTTACAGCAAGGGAGGGGACAGTCTCTTTGTGCCTCTGCTGCTGAGGCTGCCCAAGCTACCCCTGCACCCTGGGGCTCGCCAAGGCTCTACCAGCTTCCCTGCTTTGCTGTCCTTGCTCCCATTGCCCCATCCTTGGGCCCAACTGGCTCCACAGCCCTCCCTTTCCCAACTGTCCTGTACGGTGATGTTCCCGAGAGTTTAGAGTAGGTGTTCTTCACATAAATAAGACACCAAGGCCCCAGAAAGTGAGGTGGCCTTGAGGTCACACAGGTAACACTCAGGGGCCCCAAGGACAGCCCTCCCCCCAGGTGGCAGGATAAACATATGCATGAGGTTATTTCTGGGTACCTTTTTGTTCCTTTTTTTTTTTCATGGTACCGGGGAATGAACTTGGGACCTTGCACTTGCCAGGCAGGCACTTATACCACTGAGCTATATCCCTGGCCCCTGAATACCTTTTTCTTAACCATAAGGATTGAAAATCAAGCACAGCTTGAATTTGGTGACTGTTAGCATCATTCACTGAGAGAGATATTCAGATCATCCCATACTTCCTGTGGCTGTGGCAGATACCACAACCATCCCCTTAGCCCCATGAGAGGATGGGCATCTAGGGTTTTACTGTTGCCTCCACTGCCTGTAGTGTGGCCTGGCCTTCACTTAAAAGGTTTTGATGGGCCCCTCTGCAGAAGGTTTCTCTTATAGGTGCATTTTAAAAGTCAAGGAAGAAGTAGCCTCCCCCACTTCTCTCCCACTTCAGAAGGAAAAAGTGGGGGTGAGGACTTGCCAGGAGCTGAGCCAGGCCAGCTCTGCAGTCCTTGAGAGGGCCCAGGCCAGAGGTAGTGCCAGCTACAGGAAGTGCCGAGTTGCCCACCAGCCCCGGGCCAGTGGGCTTGACGTGGCTACAGGTTGGAGTGGCTGCGTGGGTGTTGGGCCAAGCAAACTGTCTGGTTCTCTGGAGAACAGGACCACTGGTAAACACAGAGCTCTCAGGATAGGGATCTAGAGACACTGTGATACCTGCGTCCTGAGAACCCTGACCAGTTGCCCTAATGGTCCACAGGTGTAGCTGTGTGGAAAGATGTGTGCTTTATAGAATTGGCTCTCATGGTTAGGGAGCCTGGGGGTCTAAAATTGGCAGGGCAGGGTGGGAATCTGGAGGCGCTGGTAGATGGCCATCTCCTGGCTGATTCCTTTCTCTTCAGGGAGGGATGTGCTGTTCCCAAAGTCCGCCAATTTAAATGTGAGCTTTACACAAAAAACCTGCACCGAAACCCTCAGGATAATCTCCGAACACATAGCAGGGTATCGTGGCCCAGCCAAGCAGGCACAGAAAATGAACTGTGCATTGGAGCAGGAAGGTGGTGATAGCAGCGCCTGCCTAGAGCAAAGGAAGGAGAAAGGGCTGTGGCTGCCAGGCCTTGTGTGGGGACCTAGGGCAGGGATATGCATTGGAGGACAGGAAAGAACAGGACTCCTTCATGTGAAGAAAGTCTCAGGCTCCCCTTTCTTTTGACTGTGCTGTGGCTGTTGTTTGCTCCTGTAGGGTCTAGAGGTGTTGGGGGAATCTCCTGACAAGGACCAACCAGAAAAAGAAAAAAAGACTCACTGACTCACTCCTGCCAGGTTTCACAGCCCTGTGGTGTGTGGCAGGAGGAGTGGGTGGCAAGTGTGCCCTTCCCCATTGTTAGAAGTGCACCATACTTGGTAATAACGCCTCCTCTATGCCTTAAGGACCCCCTTCTGAAGATCCAGGCAGAAAACCACATAAATCACTTTAAGCCAAGAGAGCTAAATCTATAAATCTTAGAAAATAAAGCATAAAACCATGAAAATAAACTAAATTTATATTTAACAGAAATAAGATTACAGTTGTGAGTGTGTGGTGATTCTTAGTTGGGGCAGAAAACAGATCAGGGCTAAATTTCCTAATAGTCCTTGTCTTCCTTCAGCAGACCTCTAGGGGCCACCCTGACCCAGTATCCCTTGTTCCCTGGGAAACCCAGGGCAGCCTGGGAGAGGGGCTGGGAATAAGAGAGGGATGTCAGAGGGGCCTGACGTAGACTGAACTGGAGTACCAGAGGCTGTCAAGGGAGGAAGAGGTCTTGGACAGAGGGACAGTGGCTACAGTGGCATGAGAAGCCCTCTTGGCATCCACTTATGTTTGTTCTACTGATTTACTGGTCAAGAAAAGTGGGAGCTGTGGGCTGGTGAGATGGCTCGGTGGTCTAAAGCACCTACTTAGAACAAGCTTGGCAAAGCACAGGGACCGCGGTTCAATCCCCCAGCACCACATGCCAGCCAGCCCTGCCCCCAGATGGGCTGAGCTGGCCACACACACACCCACACACACACACACACACACACAATAAATAAATTAATTAAAAAAAAAGTGGGAGCTGTAAGGGGTGTACTTGGGCATTTAGCTAAGGAGGTTGCCAAGGGAAGTATGGAAGATGCAGCTTTGCTTCTAATAGTAAAATGTAAGGGGGAAAGAATGACTTGAGGGACAAATTAGAAGCAAGAAAGACCTGGCACGTGAAGATTTTTTTTGGGGGGGGCATATCTTAGTCTGTCCTGTTGCAAAGGACACACAAGATAGGGGGTTCACCATTGAGAATTACAAGTTTGAGCCCACTCTGAGCAACTTAGGGAGACCCTGTCTCAAAATAAAATTTTAAAAAAGGGCTGGGGATATAGCTCAGTGTGAATGCCAAGTTCCATCCCCAGTAACACACACACACACACACACACACACACACACACACACACACGAGTCTACATGATGCCCCAGACCTATTAGTCCAGGCCAGAGAATGAGTCTGGAGGCCAGAGCCTGTGGAGCCAGAGCTTTTGTTTGCCTAGAGGGAAGAGAATCAAACCAGAGGGTCAGTCTCAGGTCTTAAACTGAATTGAATTTTGCCCTGCTGGGCTCTAAACTTGCTTGGGACCCATGACCCCTGTATTCCTTTACTGTGTTCCTCTTGGAATGGAATGTCTGTCTGCCTATCTCAGTATTGTAGCTTGGAAGGAGATGACTTGATTTCTAGTTGCATAGATGCAGAGGCATTTTGCCCCAGGATATATGATAGGCAGTACCTATGCCTGGTGAGGTAATTTAAATGATGAGATTAGAGACTTTTCTAAACTGTTTTCAATGAGATTTTAGACATAGTAAATGCTGCAATGGATGAGATTTTGGAGACATTGCGTGGGATGAGTTTTTATTTTGCATGTGGGATGGATGTGAAGTTCTAGGGATCAGTGGGTAAATTATAGTGTGTTGAGCTGTGGCCTCTAAAAGAAAAGTCCATCCAATACCTCAGAATGTGACCTTTTTAGAATAAGGGTCTTTTGCAGATATGAACCCAAGATGAGTTCATCCTAGATTAGGGTGGACTCTGAATCCAGTGACACCTGTCTTTGTAAGGGGAAGAAGAGACAGTTATTCCCAGAGAGAGAAGTCCACACCCAGGCAGACTGACGTCCTGATGCCTCAAGCTAAGAGAGGCCACCAGAAACCGGGAGTGAGGCCTGGGGCTGATCCTCCCTCAGAGCCCCAGGGGGACCAGCCCTGCCCACAAGTGGGTTTGAATTCTAGCTTCTAGGCCTGGGGAGAGGTTTCTGTTGTTAGTTGTCAAGTTTGTAGCAGGTTGTTAGGGAGCCTTAGGAAACATAAGGCTTTTGGATGGGCAGGACTGCATCCAGAAGAAGCCTTGTCCTTATGATCCTGAAAGTAGGCTTTGGCTATCTAAGGAAGAGTCACTCCAGCTCCTGGCACCACTTTAGCATTCAGAGGCTTCAGTGACTCAAGCTTGGGGACACAAAACAACAAGATGGCAGGAAAGTCAAGATTTGAAGTCATGTTTCCAACTCCAGATAGGAGGCTCTGTCTCTAGGAGAGAGGCTGGTAGCATCTCCTCTCCTTCCTCACAACCCAGAAACTGTCTCCTGAGCAGCCTCGTGGGCACTGTGGTATGTTCTGTGGAGCCCCTCTGGTGCAGATACCTATTTCAGAAGTCCCCGAGGCTTAGCTCTCTTGACCTCTCACCCCTGCCCTCTTTTAGCAATAATCGGTGGCCATGCCTATTGGACATGAGGATGTCACTATGGCCCACTTTACAAACACAGTGACATCCCTGTCGGATTTTGCTAATGGACATGGACACATCTGACCGCTTGAACTCCCCAGTAGGCGAGCCACAGCCATTCCAAATAAACAGTCACGTTCTCTCCTGGCCTGGCTGGCCTGCTGGAGCCTGCCATACTCTGGCCCCTGTTTCTCTTGCCTTTGTCCATTCCCAGCTGTGGCTGATTAGCTAAGTGGGGAAATGTTGGGAATCGAGAGGAAATGGGGGGGAAAAATTCACTTAGATTATATAGTGGTTTAAACACCAAATATCATGCAAGTCACCAGCTTTCTCCCCAGCTTTTTGCTTCCCTCAGTCCTCAGCCCAGGAAATGGATCTTGGGATTTGAAGCTAGTAATGTTCTTTGTGGTGATAGGCAGTTAGGGCTGTAACATCAGAAATAGTGAAAGCGGGGGCAGGGAGATAGCTTAGTAGAATAAATGCTTCCCTGGCAAGCGCAAGGGCCTTAGTTCAATCCCCAGTTCTGCCGAGAGAGAGAGAGAGAGAGAGAGAGAGAGAGAGAGA